ACCTCCAGCAGCTCCAGAACCTCCAGCAACACCAGGGGCACCCCCAGCAGGACCGCCAGTGGTAGTCTCAGCGCCAACACCCTCAGCAGCACCAGCTCCAGTCGAACCTGCAGGCCCAGCAGCTCCAGTACTCCCAGTACGAGCACCTCCGGGACCCGCAACAGCAGCACCCTCAGAAGCCGAAGAACCTCCAGCACCAGCAGCACGGCTCCAGCGCCGGGCAAACCACTCGCGCAGCTCCCGTGGAGAGAGTGGCTCCCGGCGAGACGAAGCACGCGGAGAACCTCCAGGCTCAGCACCCCCAGGCCCAGCACCCCCAGGCACAGCATCCCCAGGCGTAGCACCCCCACACTCAGCACCCCCAGGCTCAGCACCCCCAGGCGTAGCACCCCCAGACTCAGCACCCCCAGGCTCAGCACCCCCAGGCTCAGCACCCTCAGCAGCACCAGAGTCACCAGTGACCTCGACAGGCTCAACTGCGTCTACCTGGGACACACCTGAAGGGGCAGGACCCTGAGGGGGGAGGGGGTCTACTGGGGGGGGACCTGGAACAAGGAAGAGCGGGGGCGGGGGGAGGGACGGAGTGCGGTAGGGGAAGAGGCGGTAGTAGGGGACCGACTCGTCGAACGCGACGTCCTGGGAGGACAGAACACGGCGAGAGGTGGGGTGGTAGAACTGCCACCCAGGCGCGTCGGGGGGGAACCCCAGGAAGACGCAAGGAGCAGCACGAGGGGACAGCTTGTCCGCAGACAAGTCGCGGACAAACGCTCGAGATCCCCAGACCCGGAACGCCGACGCATCGCCAACCTTCCCCGTCCACAGCAAGGCTGGGGAGGTCTCCGGCCTGGAGACTCTGGGGTGAAGGTTGATCTGATGCGCCGCGTACCTCACCGCAAACGGCCACAGAAAATGGGGGGCAGCCGCATGCATCATAGACGTACGAGCGACGTCCATGACCATGCCAATGCGGCGCTCAGCAATCCCATTTTGCTGCGGAGAGTCCGGAAGCGTGAAGGTCTGACGGATGCCTCGTGCACGGCAGTAGGCTCGCAGAAGGCCAGAGGAGAACTCCCCGCCTCTGTCCGAGTGCAGACGCAGAACAGGAAAGTCGGAGCCAAAGCTCTGCCTGAGCTGGAGACGAGCTGCGCGGATCCAGTCGATCAGCACCTCAGTGACATCACCGTTGCTGCGCAAGGGGAAGACTGCGGTGTAACGCGAGTAGTCGTCAACAACTAGTAGGAAGTAGCGCTCGTGACCCTGCCCACGGACACGGGCTGGGCCCCACACGTCCATGTGAAGCGTCTGCAACGGGGCCTCTGTCGGAGGAAACTGGGAGGAGTGAGGGGCAGCAAGCTGGCGCCCCTCGACACAGGGGACACAGGTAGGGCCAGGGCCCTGAGGAAGGGGAGGGAGGGACCGGGGGAGACCAGACACTAGAAGGCGGGAGGCCATGCCTCTGAGCCGAAGCAGAGAGGGGTGACCAAGACGGTGGTGCCAGAGGAGAGTCTCGTGAGACAGGAGACGACACGAACAGGGGGCAGACTCAGGACCAGACCTGGACGCTCCAGCAAACACCCGACCCGACGAAACGACTCTACCAGACTCAGTAACGGGAGGAGACGCAGTGGTCAGTGTGTACAGGCTCGACCCCGGCTGACGGGTAAACGTAGCCAGGTGTCGGCCTGTGCTAGCCTCTGTACAGTGGGTCACCCGCTGGCGTGCAGGAGTGAACTGGTGTACACCCGCATCCTGTAGGTCAGCACCACTCACCAGGTTCGTAGAGAACGAGGGGAGGTAGAGACCAGACAGGGTGCCAGAGGGAGCCGCCGGACACGGGAGGACTGTGGAGAAGCGAGACAGGACAGGACCCCCAGAGGGGTCAGCCAGAGACACTGCAACCGGTCGACTCAGCGGTGTGAGTGTGGTGCGGTCCCGAAAGAAGGAGCGAGACGCACCAGAGTCAAGGGTGAAGGTGAGGGAGGCCGAAGCCGACGTAGTACCTGAGAGCGCAGACTCACCAGTACCTGAGGACGCAGACACACGAGCACCTAGAGCAGCAGCGTCGCAAGCACCTAGGGCAGCAGCCTCACCAGGACCTAGAGCAGCAGTCTCAATGCCCGGATCGGGCGGGAAACACCGGTAACAGTCACCCTCATCACTAATAGACACAGCATACATGGCAGAGAGAATAGCATCAAAGTCAAGATCATAGATGGCAACACCCGCCCTAGACAGCTCGCCCCAGCGAGGGATCTCGGAGGCCTCCGGGAACTGGTGACGCCACGCGTCCGTCAGGCGGCCAAAGCAGCGCTGGGTGGGGTGGGCACCCCCACACTGCTCACCCGCACGGTCGCCAGTGCGCAGCGGGCGCTAGGGCACGAGAACGACGTAACGGCAGGCGCAGTGGGCGCTAGGGCACGAGAACGACGTAACGGCAGGCGCAGTGGGCGCTAGGGGACAGTACGAGCGTAACAGGCACTAACATACGGGACAGTCTCGGGCGCTACGGACGTGAACGAGAGGAACGGGATCCCACTGGATCCTGACCTAGGTGATACCATGTCAAGAATGAAAGTGTTGGTTTGACTAAGGTTGGTTGGGGTACATAAACCTAACCCTAACAGTTGTACCCTCTATAACACATATTATTAAGACTACAACATTTGACAGTGTCTTGTAATGCCGGATAATAGACAACCCCTGTCTACTATTCAACACTGTCTACTATATGGACGATGACGGTACGAAATTCATATCGGTGGGTTCTCGTTAGTGAACCCTGCATTAGTCTGATAGTAGTTTCTTATCTCAGATGATCAGAGTTATACTTCTCTGGTTCCTGAGAAATCATGTATCCATTTCTTAGACTAAGAAAAAAAATCATGGGGAAAACGAAAAAGCATAATGTTTTTCTTTATTTCTTTCTTTCCTTCATTTCATTTACAAAAGCCAGCCCTTCCTTCGCTGCTTCGAGACTATATCGCCTGTAAGCGTGTCGCTGATATTTGTTGGGCTGAGAAAGGCCCTTAGGATCTTTGCAGGACTAAACTCTGTGTAGGAGTAATGTAATAGCGGAAGCGTTTAATGAGAAGTTTGTGAACCACGTTGCGCTGGTATGTGAGGGCAAAGTATATTGATTAAAACAAAGGGATACAAGCTTTTATAAAAGTACAAGGGAATATGAAGGGTTATAACTAATAGATGTTTTACAGTTTCTGTTGCGGTTCGATACAGTGACGACTCGGGCAACTGTTCAATAGCGAGTCAGTTGTTTGTCCTTGCTGTCGCGCTGTACTTGTCAGGTCAAAGGTCGCTGACCTTTGACTTTCGCGTAACCTCCAGCAGTTGTTTAACCTCCGAGGGTGGACTCGCTGATGCTTCGATATGTTTCGCTTCGCTTCTGACTTGGTGTTTCGACACGACAGAGGCGCTCAAGTTACTTGTTTCCAACAATATTTACTACATTTCTTTACTACATTTCTGGCATTGAAGGGTTTTCCCACATTCAGTCGATTTCATCGTTACAGAGGCGTCGCTTTCGGCTTTTTGCTGCTTGACCTGCACCCAACCTCGAATTCCCGAGGTTCCAGCTGATATGTGTTTTCCTGCTTTTTTTATCTCGCGTTATTCAGTGCATCCTCAGTCTATATTGTCGGAGCCTCGTTATTCGTTATTCCATGCAACTCTGTTTTACAACTCATAACAGTATTCATACATGCTTTCCGACTAGTTCGCCTAAATTTGGTTTCTGGATTGTATCGAAGTGGGAAAACGAGTGCTGGAGGAATCGTCAAGTGCATTTTGGCGACTGTCCCGTGTAACCAAGTCACATCGTCGGAGATCTATCCATACCAGTCAACATGGGGAGAAATGCAATGTTCGCGAAACAGGGTCACAAAACGAGACATTGGCGGGATTCGAATTCTAGTCAAGCACATTTCGCGAACCTGCCCTGGCAATAATGCAATTCGCCGTAAGTTCTTGGCTGCCATTGGCGCCCAAGAGGTACCGCGTTCCACAGTATCGCGTTCGGACAAATCAAATGTACTTCGATACCACCGTCACATTCGGAATTGGCTTCCCCTCAGTGCCTCCTTCACGCTCCCTTCCCGCTCCCATTCTCGTCCCTCCCTCAGCTATCGCGGCGGCGATAGCTCCTTACATATTTCTCCCCTACCCTGTGTTCACCATACCTCGCCATTCCACACGAATTCCTCTCCTTCTCGCTCTCTCACACTCAAACAACTAGAAGTAGCACGCGCCATTCCACACGAATTCCTCTCCTTCTCGAGACTTATTCAGGATCCTGAAACCCGCCGCCGCTTCCGTAGTCCACCGTCGGGCTAGCCTACTGCGGACTTCAACACGTGGTCACATCGGTGCAGCGCGCCGCAGCCTCAGCTTCCCTCGCCAATCCCGTCTCTCGTCGCCATGGCGCCGCGCCGCGCGTCTCGTCCCGCGCTTCAAGCCGGCCTCGCCGCAATCCTCGCGGCTGCCGCCCTCATTGCCGCAGTCTTTCTCCTCCCTTCCGCAGAAGCCAGCGCCTCTGTCGTGTACGACTCCGTGGTCGCATTCAAAGGCCCAATGAGAACAACGGATAACGCCAGCCTGATTTTCTACAACGCGGTGTGCGACGACGTGGATCGCAGCGTGTTCGCGAATGGGAGTAAAGTCAGCGCGGAGATTGCGTGGGACGGTTTCGAGCGCGCGGACCGAAAGTGCAGCAGCATCTCCTTCCACTCCACGCCGGGCTGCGCGGGACGCCCCTACATGACGTACCTGCGCCCTCCGTGGAACATCACTCACGTTCCCACCACGTGGTGAGCCCACACCTCGAATCTTCCTTCTCAACGGTTCAATTCAATCCGTTCAGATTTATCAGTTTAATTCATTCGATTCTGTTGCTTGGGGAGCTGAATATCGGCTTGTATCAGATCTCATCGCTTCTTCTGCTCCCTCGTAATATTCCCTGCCGCCACCATGGCTTCTTTTGCTTTCAGGATGCTCTCTGCCGCCGACTTGCCAGCGTCAGCGAGATGCGAGGAGGGTAAGTTGCGAGATTGACTTGCAAGGTTTGACACGCCTGCCCATGGTAAGGGCATTTTTCGTGCGAAGGCCCGCCTGCTCTACAGCCTGCACTGCGCCTATGACTACTCAGAGCTTGGTGCATGGTGCGGTGCGGCGTGGTGCGTTACGATGCGGTGTACGGAGTGTGCAATGTCCAGCTGGAAGGTCGACTTTGAGCTTCATTGGCATCCCACACGGCAACCCTCTCATGCATCAGCCACCACATTACTCTTTTCGTTGTGCTGCTGCGAATGATTTGCCTTGTCGTTTGCATGCGGCATTGTTCCCCCCGTGCCAGCGGCCAAGTGTCAAATCGACTCTGACGGGTCTGAACGGTTTGGATTGAACCATGAATGTAAGTCGCTGTCTCATTCTTCTCCTCCTGCACCTTCCCACTATTGTCACCCTCCCCCTTGCCTCTAAGAGTCCCCCATACTTGTCCTTTGGGCCGCTGCGCTGCCGGCTGCGGGTCCACTGCCAAGTGCAGGGTGAGGAGCCTCAAGGGCGAATCCTTGTGCCCTGTTTCTCTCGTCTTCGGCGTCGAGTTTTGAGACATCTCTATTCTTCCCACTTCTGTCCCTGTCTTCAGCTGCGAGGTGCATCGTGAGAAACCTCAAGGACGCCTTTGAGCCGCCTCAAAACTCTTTTCCTGTCCCTGCTCTCTGTCTCTGCGGACTCACCATGCTTGCTCCAAAAGCTGCGATTCCGACTGTGGTTCATGAACCTTACCGTTGTCATTTTTCTCTTCCCTCCTTCCACCTCTGTCCGCCCCATGCTAAACGTAAAGGATGCGCTTCCATCTGCGTGTGAAAGGGCGAATCCGTGTGCCCTGGGGCTCTCGCCCTCGACATGAAGTTGTGAGACGTCTCAAAACTCCTTCCCACGTGTGTCCCTCCGCCCTGCCCTACGAAGGCCCCGTGCTCGCCCAGGCTGCGCTGCCGACTGCGGGTCCGCTGCCAAGTGCATCGTAAGGAACCGCAAAGGAAAGAATGCGTGTGTACTTGAGTCGACTCAAAAACCTTCCCAACTTTGTCCCTCCGCCCTGCCTCTACGAATGCCCCCATGCTCGTCCCAACAGGCTGCGCTGCTGACTGCGGGTCCGCTGCCAGGTGCATAGTGAGGAACAACACAAACCAGTGTGTGTGCCCGGGGTCTCTTGTCTTCGACGTCAAGGCGAGGCGCTGCCTTGATGGGCCGGCCGTGATCAGCGAGGGTAAGTGCATCGTGTGGGCGAAGTTTATCTGCGGGATTGTGAGAATGGAGCCTCTCGGAGTGGTAGGCGTTGTGCTGTGTTCTTTCTCTCACCTCGTCAGCGCAGTGCGTGGGCCCTGGTCACCAGGGGTGACTTGACTTTTAGTGCTGCTGCGCCGAGGCCTCTCAGTAGTCACCACTGCCACCCTACAACCTGCTTCTCTTCCAATACTAGCTCTTTACAGCTGCTCCTTCTCCCTCTTCCTTGTCTTCCTCTTGGAATGGACCTTCATTGAATATACCATATAATACTGCTGCTCGTTTTCTCCCTCTTCCGTCTCATCCTCTTGTCTTGTCTCTCACTCATGCTTCTGTCCCTCTTCCTTCTCACGCTCTTGTCTCTCTCCCTTTCTTGCTTCTCCCCTCAGAACCCCTGCCAGCCCGGGACCCCTGTGCAACAATTACGTGTCCAGCAAATGGGTTTTGCCTGGTGAAGAACGGTACAGGGAGCTGCAAGTGTAGCCCTGGCTACGTCAAGAAGAACAATCTCTGTACTGGTAAGGGAGCGGGCAGGCAATGCTCAGCTATAAGTGCAGTTCTCTTACTTTGCTCCTGCGGCATTTCATATGTTTGAGACGTGTTTGTGGCACCTCAACACTCTGCACTTTCCTCTCTCCTCCCTCTCGTGTAATCTCCCTTTTCATGTTTTGCAGCTGTGTGCAAGCCCACCTGCCCTCGCAATGCCGAGTGTGCAGTGGTGGCCGGCACGCCTATGTGTCGCTGCAAGAATGGATACGTGATGAGGAGCAACAGCTGCGTCGGATTGCCCCAGATTGGATTGCCTCAGGAGCGCACAATCATTCAAACTCGCCGCATGGGGGGTTCGTCGATTCAGCAAGAATGGTGAGTTTGTGTGTCAATGTTCCCAACCGCCTGCAGATATCCGCAGGTAACCGCATGTTTTTCCACCCTGGTTCATTGCTCTTTCCCCATATGTCTTGAGCAGACATGCTTTGACCATCTGCCCATTGTGTTTTCATCCTATTCCTCTACACTTTCCCTTTTGGTGCAGAGGCAGAAGGGGCACCAGCTAAGGGCCGGATAAGGTAAAGCCGGGTAGCAACACCATATCCTTGAAATTCAGCAGGCTCATCATCAAGACTTTGCTGGGTGCTACTTTCTCAATAACACGAATGAATTACGTGGGTGCATGCCCACTGCTTTTCTAAATAAAAATGGGCTTTGCTTTGTTGGTTGTATCTCAGGCTCATCATGTCTGTATCTTAGTGTAGACAATATAGCCATTTGGGTTACTGTCTATGGGCTTGTGCTTGCGGTGTATATCGTTTTTTCTGTTCTGAACCTAAGAAACCTAGTCGGTAGTAGGCTTTCAATATGGAGAAAAACTGTTTTTTTACCTTGAGTGGGACTTTTCTATTCAACATCTACCGTATCCTTCAATTTAGAGCCCCGTAGGTGTCTAAACAAAATATATGCTTGTAGGCTGTAGTGGGGCACCCTCTAAGGGGTATGACCCTTTTAAGGTTAGGCATATGTACCAACATTTTCTCAATGCAATCCATTCAGCTGTTCTAGTTTAAACATGGTTTCAAAGCAGGTCCTGATGTAAGACCGGTTTTTGTTAGGGCCCACCGTAAGCTGTGCCCCATGTACTGCTGCCGTCGCAAGCTACCATGCCCTGCCCTGCCTCGCGCTGTCCGCTGCCCTGCCCTGCGCTAGCGCCGTGCCCTGCCCTGCCCCGCGCGCTGTCGCACTGCCCTGCCCTGCCCCATGTGCTGTCGGACTGCCCTGCCCTGCCCTGCCCCGCGCGCTGTTGCGCTGTTGGGCTGAGAAAGCCCTTAGGATCATTCAAGGCTAAGACTCGGGGTGATCATGTAATTGCGGAAGCGTTGTAATGAACTGGTTGAACCACCTTGCACTAGTGTGTGAGAGCAAGATAGATTAAAAATAGCAAAGTAATACAAGGCTTTATATAATTAAAAGACATAACTAACAGTTGCTGTTGCTGTTGCGATTCGATACGGCTGCGACTCGGGCAACTGCTCAATAACGAGTCAGTTGTCTGTCCTTGCTATCGCGCTGCCTTTCGGTGAGTCAAAGGTCGCTGACCTTTGACCTTCGCTTAACCTCCTTGCTGCTACCTTTTTTCAACCTCTTTGGTTGACTCGCTGTTGCTTCACTATGATCTGCCTTGCTTACATTTTAGTGCGTCGAAACATCAGAAGTGCAAACTACATGTTACCTTCACTCCCCTTCGCTTCTGGAGTGTCGTCGCTGGTGACGTGACCTTGTCCAGTCAGCAGCATGCAGTACTCGAACTTCTGCTTTCCGAGTTTCTTGGTCAAGTAATCTGCTGCCATCTCGGATGTGGGACAGTATGATAGCTCGAGTCTTCCCTTTTCGATTTCGTCCTTCACGAAGAAGCATCGCAGGGCGATGTGCTTCGTTCGATTCGCGAACCCGTTCTTGTTCGCTATGCGAATTGCTGATTGGTTGTCGCAGAAGAGGGAGAAGTTGGGTAACTGGGCCAGCTTTGCTTCTTCCAGTAGTTCGCAAAGGTACAGTCCTTCCTTGGTGGCTGAGCAGAGTGCGATGTATTTTGCTTCAGCTGAGGAGAGAGCAATTAGCTCTTGCTTGCTTGACTGCCACGAGATAGGACCGATAGGCTCGAGTTGGTAGATATATGTCAAATGTTGTAGCCTTAGTGATGTGTGTCATAGGAGGTACAACTCTTAGGGTTAGGTTTATGTATCCCAACCAACATTCTGAATGGAACACTTTCATTCTTGATATGGTATCAGCTAGGTTAGGATCCTGTGGGATCCCGTTCCTCTCGATCACCTTCGTCACGCCCGAGCCTGCCCCTTACCTTAGTGCTAGTCACGCCCGTACTGTCCCTTAGCGCCTCTCACGCTCGTCTCTCACGTGCCCTAGCGCCTGCTGCGCCGCCCGTCGCGCGTTCCGCTTGTCCCGCACATCCCGTCCTGCGCGTCGCGTCCCGTTCCTACCGTGGCGCCCCCCGCTGCGCCCTGTCCGTCCGTCGCGCTCCGCGCGCCTTGCCGGTCGCGTCGTGCCCATCCCGTCCGTCCCGTCTGTCGCGTACCGTCCTTTCCGTTCCGTCCGTCGCGTCCCCCCCCCCCCCCCCCCCCAACCCCCCCTTGGCCCGTCCCGTCCCTCGCGTCGCGCTCCCCCCTGTCCGTCCCGTCCGTCGCGCTCCCCCCAGTCCGTCCCATCCGTCACGCTCCCCCCTGTCCGTCCCGTCCGTCGCGCTCCCCCCTGTCCGTCCTGTCCGTCGCGCTCCCCCCCATTCGTCCCGTCCGTCGCGCCGTGTGCGCCCAGCCCGTTGCGTCGCCAGCGCCCCGCCAGCCCGTCTCGCCACGCTGCCCCAGCTCGTCCCGTTAAGCTGCGCCCACCTCGTCCCATCGCGCCGCGAGACGTCCTGTCCTGCCGAGCCACGCCTTCCTGCCCGTCCCGTCCAGCCGAGCCGCGCCCGTCGCCTTATGCTGCCTATCCTGCTTACCGCGCCCTACCCTAACATCCTATAGTGCACTGAGCTTGTTGCACTACCTCTCATACCCTTCTCAAGCTCCTTAAAGAATTTAGGGTTTCAGCTATACTGCGCTTTGACGCCGACGGCAGGCCGCTCGAGTTGTCTGGCTCCTTCGTGCGTAGCGCAACCTCGAGAGTCAGGTCCAGGCAGGCGAGTCTCTGTGGACGCACGCTTCCAGTATCCTTCCTACGCCCGACGGCCCTACGCCTTTAGGCACTGCCCCCAACGACACAGCTAGCAATCATTATGCACGCGAGCTTGCTGATGTGACGGCATGGAAGTCGCGTGACGCTGCGGCCTGCATTGACCTCAGCAGCCTCCTCCTTGAGTCTGAGGAGACCCAATTTACTCAGATTCACACGGTTAGTGGGTTCCTGACTGTGATCAAGGCCCGCTACGCTACTCCCACCACAGTCTCTCTTGGTCGCCTGTTCCTTCCGTTCCTATTTCCTGACCTCGCCTCGTTTGAGCGCACTGCTGACTTGATTACTCACCTCCGCTCGCTCGATTCCAGCTACCGCGCTGCTTGCACTGACGCACAGCTTGCACTACTTCCTCCCCCCAACACGATTACTAATTATTTTATCGACAGTAGCCTCCCTGACTGCCTTACCTCGGTTCGTGACGCGCTTCTTCTGAAGCACCCTAGTGAGCTCACTATCGGGGTCCTTGAGTCTGCGCTCAAGGACGCCGAGAGCAACCTCTGCTCGGTAGCCTCCGCCTCTGGTGCTGTGAACCCTCCGCTGCTTCACGGGTGCACTGTCCCTCAGCTGCCCACCTTTACTGCCTCCCTCGCCACTGCCACTACTCACGTGACCGCAGCTGCTGTTACGACATCTTCGCGGTCTCGGGGTAGGAGTTGCAGGAGGGGTGGTCAGGGTGCGGGCAGAGGCGGCGGAGGCTTTGCGGGTGACGTGGTGAGCGGTGGCGGTGGGAGTGCAGGGGCTGGAGGAGCTCCTCGTGCAGCGGCCGGTGACTCCACTGCAGCGGCTGGTGGAGGTGATGCCCGGGTTCGTCAGTCACCTACAGGTCTGCCAGACGCAGGGGGTGGAGCAGCGGCGTGGTACCTGACTCGGCAGCAGCAGCAGCTGCAGCCCCCCCCCCCCTCGCAGCAGCCACAGCAGCAGCAGCAAGTTTTGGTGCAGGGGTCAGGACAGCGTCAGCTGCAACGCACTGTCGTCCACCCTTCCTGCACCTATCACGTTCTGACAAGTGCTCGCCGAGGCCAGCCTTGTGGCCGCAGCCAAACACCGGGTCAGTGCTTTGCTCAGCTTACTGACACGGTTCGGTTGGCCTACGGCATTGACGGCCCTGCCCCTGCCTGGCTTCCCTTTGTTCAGACGTACGGCCTTGCTTTGTGGGGCATGTCGGCTTCTCAGTTGGTTGATCTCTTAGGAACTCCTCAGGCTATGTATGTTGTTGTTGACTCTAGTGCTTCTGACTCTGTTTACTTGAGTGTTGTTAGCTTAGGTGCTAGACTTGCTGATCTGCCTGTTGCTAGTGTAGATACTTGTGTAGACACTAGTCCAAGAGCTGCTCCGGAGGACGCTTCGCTTTCTTTCACTCTGGACTACGGAGCTTCGCACTGTTTCTTCCGCGACCGCATGACACTTACCCCGCTTCCCACACCGATCTCTGTCGCACTGGCTGATCCCACTTCGGGACCAGTCACTGCTCGCTACACTACTACGCTTCCGTGCCTGGCTGTTCCCTCCGGTTCTCTGACGGGCTTCCACGTCCCCTCGTTCTCGAGGAACTTGGTGGGCGTAAGGCCGCTCGTGAGTCAGCTCGTGGGTGTGTGGATTAAGCCTTCAAGCGAGACTGCGGTTTGTGTTGACGGGGACACGTACGCACCTCTCGCCACCTTTACCGCTGAGCCGGGCTTTGGTCTCTACACACTTCACACTGGCCCCCGTGTGCAGCAGCAGCAACAGCGGCTACTGCCCCCGGCCCCTGTCCTTGCCCCCCGTCTGGTCCATGCGTCTCACCAGGTTGCCGCGTCCCCCCAGGTAGCTGTGTCTAGTGAGGTTCCCGTGTCTGGTCCAGTTGTTGCGTTTTGCTCCTACTGGTTGCTTGCCCACCCCACGGTTTTGTGGCACCACCAGATGGGGCACCCGTCCCTTCCTCGTTTGCGTGCTATGTCTAGTCAGCGTCTTGTCTTAGGCCTCCCGCGTGTCTTGCCGTCGCTGCCGCCTTCGCTTGCACCACCGTACGGTCCCTGCATCGAGGGTCGGCTGCGCGCCACCCCTCACTCCTCCTCCCTTTGTCCGGCCACCAAGCCTTTTGAGACGCTCCACTTGGACGTTTGGAGCCCCGCCTCTCGCCTTGGCCC